GTTCAAAAGCTGCAGCTGGTACAGAAAGCTGCGGCCAGAGTATTGACTGGAGTAGGTCACAGGGATCATGTCACTCCAGTTTTCTTGCTCCATCTACACTGGCTTCCAATTTGCTCCCAGGCTCAATTCGAGGTGCTGGTATTGATCTCTCGATGACAGACACATCCAGAGACACTGGAAATTTTATACCAGATTGTTATATCGTTGAAGATTTTGCTGCGTGAGTGCAGTTGCCATGAGGAAGGATCCATGGCCTGCTTTATAAACTTTCAGCAACCACACGACAGATGAGAAAGCAACTTCTGGTCTGGATTTATATATTAACTTCTGAATGTGTGTCTGGTTGAAAAACTATGTATTATTGACCACTAAGGAAGGCCCGAGAGGCCGATACACGTACGGTCTTGTTGGTCATTTGAGATATTCAAAAACTGTGTATGTGAAATCACTACAGCTTAGGTAAAGCTCATGTTGATATTCTATGCAGTCTGATAGTCATGCAGACCTTTTGCTTTTAATCTTTGCCATTTTATATACCGTATATAGGGTTGCCAAGTTGAAAAATCGCCGCGACGGGGGACTCCCGTCCAGCGACTAGTGCGCGCGCCAGAAGTGACGTTAGGACGCCGGGCACGCTGGGGGCGGGGCCACGACCATCCGAGGGAAAACCATAGAGTTTTCCCTCGGATGACCGTGGCCCCGCCCCCAGCGTGCCCGGCATGGTCGCGTCACTTCCGGGTGATGTGCACGTCGGGGTGGGGTTCCCCCCGGGGCCTGATCTGCCGGCGGCGGGGAATGGGCCTCTGGGGCGGGGGGACTTGGGAAGCCTAACAGTATAATAAATATTTTGTTCATATTTTATTTGAGGTAGCTTGACCCATGCAACATTATTGATCTCTAAAGCCCAGAATCTTCTAGGTGAAGCCTTCTTTGTTACATTTGGCCTACCCCCAATAACCACTATTGGCCCTCTTTCCCGATTCTGGTATTGGTATTGCTTTTTGTGTTTCAATTTTATCATTTGAATAGTTTTTAATTGTTCAAATGCTTTAAAGTTCCAATGTGCGCCGCCTTAGGAATCCCTGGTTAGGTGGAAAGGTGGCATTAAAATCTTTTAAATAAATTTAAACAGATAAGTTATTTTCTCATCCTTCCCCTGCTCAAGCCAGTGTATGTGATTAGCAACTCCCCCCCCCCCTTACAACAGCTCTGTGAGGTCGTTCAGGCCGAGAGAGTGACCAGCTAAAGGCCTCCCAGCAAACTGCACAGCTGTGTGGGAAACTGAAGGAGGGGACGGCGTCCTGCCTTCTGAACCACCACGGCTCAGAATTTCATATGTCTCTTCAGTATTAGAGATGTAAAATTTCCGGAAATTTTGAAGCGGAAATTTTCGGAAAAATTGAAAAAAATTGCTACATTAGCACTTCTTTTGTCTTTTCTAGATTGAAAGTCATTCTGTTACTTTAGGAACATAAAATATGACTACGGACATTTTTACTTGGCATGAAATTATCACAACTAGCATATTAAAAATATAGTGTATCCAAACAGTTATTACAAACAGAATACCCGCCCACATGCAAAAACAAAACTGAAACCTTTTTCTTTTCTCGTGACAATAGCACCTCCTAAAGGAAGAAATGCATCTTGTTCTTGCATTGGAGAGTTCAGTTTGTAACCTAGGACTTGCTTGTCCTCAGTGCACAGAAATTAGATCAATCTGATACCATATATATTAGAAATGATTTGGAAAATATTTGAACATCTTGTCTTAAAATATTTTATTCATCATGTTAAAATAAAACGTTCCATAATCAATTTTTTTCCTTTTTTCAATTTTTCCAGTTTTTCGGAAAAAAACAAAAAACGGCTTCAGGAAAAAAACGGGGAAAAAACATTTCCCCCCTGAATTTTTCCGTTTTTTTCCCGGGCCTTCACATCTCTATTCAGTATTCCAAGAAGATGAGCTAAAAGTCAAGTTACCTCAGGGGAGGTACTGCGGAAGATCCTGTCAGCCGTGTGGACAGCGGCAACTGCATAACATCTTGCGGAGTTTGTTCTCTTCTTTGCTCAAAGGTACTTGAGGCCTAGGGCGTGCCCGGAGGCACAAGGCCTCGGGCGCAAGCTAAAGAGTCAAGGGTCTCTTGCCTTGTGGCTCTTAGCCTGGGGGGAGGGTCATACCCTGGAGCTGGAAGGTGGAAGATAAGACCTGCCTGGCATTGAGCTATACTTCTGTTTGCCTCTGTTGTGTTTCCTTCCTTCAGTGTTAGCTGCTTTGGGTCCCCAGTGGAGAGAGGACTAAGAAGCGAGCCAATTATTTTTGAAGGGCACTCAACAAATCAGCTCTTTGTGGCGCTGGGTAAACTCCCTTTCCTGTCCCATCCCGCTCTGACTCTGTTCTTCTGTTTCTCCCTCTGACAGTCTTCCAGTGTTCCCTCCCCCTCCCCCAGGAGAAATCGCTTCCTGATGACAGACAAGCGTCTCTGGGTGAAGCGGAACCTTTCAGATAAAACGAGAACCATACAGGAGGATCCAGTATTAGGAATGCTTTTGAAGGTCAGGGTAACACTCAGGGTCACGGCACTCTTGGAAAGTAAAGGCTGTGCTGAGGCCCAGCCAACGAATGAGGTCCTCAAACAGGCTGTAAAATGGCAAGTGAGGACAGCCACATCTTTTAATGCATCCCTGTGTTAAAATTAGCATTGCCAGCCTTCAGGTGAGGCTTGAAAGTCCACTATTACATCACTGTTGGCTCCTGGTTCAGGGGTCATTTCGTAGAAAAAGAGCTAGGGGAACTCATTAGCATAACTCATTAGCATATGCCACACCCCCTGACATCACCGGAAATGTGTCATAAGGCCACACACCCCACCCCCAACGGTCCCGGCTGCCGGCCTTGCAGCTCCACTGCCGAGCCCCATGAGGGGCCCAGCGGTGGACCTGCAAGGCCGGCGGGAGTGCAAGGAAGCCCCGCAAAGGCCCTCCCTGGCCCCAGGCAGGCAGGGGTGGGGAGAGGCAGGGAGGAAGAAACTTACCCTCCCTCTTCTGCCTCCTCCTGGCTGAATGAGGGCCGGAAGCAGGGGGCGGGGCTTCGTCATGTGCCCCGCCCCCCGTACCTCACCCGGGGGAACTGCGTTCCCCCGCGTTCCCCCCCGAAATGACCTCTGTCCTGGTTGCATCGAATTTTTCTGACTAAGTGAGAAAGGTACTCAATTGAACCATTACTATAGGAAAATGCACCTGACCATGGCAGCAAACTATCGAGAATGTGGCCTCTGATAAATATCCGTGCCGTTGGTCACAGACAATCATCGTCAACGTTTATAAGCAAAGACTGTTGGATTGTAATGTCAGGAGCCATTCTGTGATATCATTTGATTGACCACTGAGGAAGGCCAGTGGGCCGAAACGCACATGGGTCAGGGTTGATAATGGTCATTTTTGGTTGTCACTGTACAATTTGATTCTTAATTGAGACTATCAACAGGGCCAATATCTGTTTTTTTATTCATTTTGCAACAAACATATATATTTTTGTATGTCTCTTAATATTTAATGTTTTTAACTTGACTAACATAATTATTGGAGCTGCGGTGGCTCAAGTGGTTAAGACACTGAACTGCAGGCTGTGGAAGGTCAGTAGTTCAGCAGTTTGAGACCCATGTGTGCCGCATGACGGAGTGAGCTCCCGTCTCCAGTTCCAGCTCCTGCCAACCTAGCAGTTCGAAAGCAAGAAATTGCAAGTAGGTAAATAGGTACCACTTCGGTGGGAAGGTAACAGCGTTCCGTGTGCCTTGGTGTTTAGTCATGCTGGCCACATGACCACGGAAACGTCTTCGGACAGCGCTGGCTCTTCGGCTTTGAAACGGAGATGAGCACCGCAACCCTAGAGTCGGACTCGACTGGCTTTCAAGCAAGGGAACCTTTACCTTTACTATTTTACCGTTACCATTTTCTCCAGGGGAATTGATCTCTGTAGTCTGGATATTGGTCCTTAAGTCCACCTGGAGTCTGGCAACCTTACAGGGGAACGAAGAGGCCAGGCGCCACTTCACGGGAAACACGGGGGAGGATCACATTTTGGAATACTCGTCAGCAATTAAAATAAAAAAAAATAGAGCGAGCAAGCAGAGAAGGTAAGACCCCTTTCTCACTGCCATGCTGTTTTTTTTTTATTTGCATGGAGTTTTTAACTGTCAGGAACATTCAAAGCCAGGATCCACCACAAGCAGCCTGAAGTGGGCCAGCCCAGTCTACCTTTGTAAAATTACTTTGTCTTATTCTACCTGAATGTGTGAACCAGGCAGGCCCCAGCCCCCCCCCCGTCCTCTGCCCACCACTGGGTCCCCTTGTTTGCACCTCTCTTCCCGCCACCCACCTGTATGTCCTTCCTTTACCTACTCACAAAGCCCTCCCTCCACCTGTGCTTACAGCTGCTGCTCACACGGCCATTCCTCACTGGCACCAGGCGGCGCGTGGCTGGGAGCACCATTCCTCTGACTCCTAAAAGCACCAGTATCCTGCACCATCAGCTGCCTAGGGAGGTGGTGAGCTCCCCTTCGCTGGCGGTCTTTAAGCACTTGTCAGGGATGTTCTAGGCTGACCCTGCATGGAGCAGCAGGTTGGACTAGATGGCCTGCACGGCCCCTTCCAACTCTGTGATTCTAGGATCTGCACATCCTTCCCCAGCAATGCTGGGCAGTGCATATGGCAGGGAACACGGGTGGTGGAGCACTCGTAAGCAGATGGGGGAAGGGAAGACCAATGGGTGGCATGCGTGCACTGCCACCACCCCAGGGGGTGGTGGCACTGCAGGCAGTGGAGCGGTGAAGGTGGGCCCCGTCAGAAGCCCTGGGCCCCCACAGCTACCCCACCTCAGCATATCCTGATGGCCGGCCCTTAAACAGTCGCGGCCACGAGCTGTTATATACAGATGCAATCTCTGGGCTCCGTTGCCCTCAGCAGCCGAGGAAGTGTCCACTAAGGACGTGGAAAGGTACCTGGTGGCCAGCAGAGGATAGGAATGCAGAGGGCTGAACCAGGCCTCCTTGATCCGGGGCATGTTCTCATACATCAAAAGGTCCTTCTCAGTCAGGACAACCAGGACAGGCTTCCAGTGCTTCTCGTTCTCCCCCAGCACCTGGAAAAGAACAGACTCCCTGTGAAATAGCAGCAAAGGAAGGTACCAGGAGATGGCGGCCACCAGCTAGAAGTAATAAGAACAACAATCGTATGGCAGGGGGTGTAGGATAGCCAGGAGAGCCGAAGATTGGCTTGGAGCCTGAAACTCTAGCTCTTTTGGTGGCAAGCTAGGTATATTGAGCTGCGGTGGCTCAAGTGGTTAAGGCGCTGAACTGCAGGCTGTGGAAGGTCAGTAGTTCAGCAGTTCGAGCCCCGAGTGTGCCGCAAGACAGAGTGAGCTCCCGTCTCCAGTTCCAGCTCCTGCCAACCTAGCAGTTCGAAAGCAAGAAATTGCAAGTAGGTAAATAGGTACCGCTTCGGTGGAAAGGTAACAGCGTTCCGTGAGCCTTGGTGTTTAGTCATGCCGGCCACATGACCATGGAAACGTCTTCGGACAGCACCGGCTCTTCGGCTTTGAAACGGAGATGAGCACCGCAACCCTAGAGTCGGATTCGACTGGCTTTTGAGCAAGGGAACCTTTACCTTTAGGTTTATTTTTGGGGCTGAGAGAACTGTGACTGACCCAAGGTCACCCAGCTGGCTTCAAGTGGAGGAGTGGGGAATCGAACCCGGTTCTCCAGATTAGAGTCCGCCGCTCTTAACCGCTACACAAAACTGGCTCTCTCACCTAGAAGCACATCTATGGGTTCTGGTAAAGGAAGGCCAGTTTTACTCTGCTGTCCTTTCCAGGTTTCACCGAGCGGTTTAAAAGAGATTAAAAAAAAAAAAAAACAACCCCAAACCTGTGATGTTCTCAGATAATTGAATTAGAGCACCTGTTCTATTTTGGAAAGCCATTCTGTATTTTCATTAACGCAAAAAAGACCATTTCAATTACAATCCTTGTTTGGTAAACAAATTGTCTATTATCAGCGGCTGGATTTTTCAGTGGGCAGCCGCTCTGCAGAATCTGAACAAAGTGCTTTTTGGTTCTATAGCAGTAGTTGGAGATTTCTAATACACTGTACCCCAAGACCACCTACAAATTGGTAGTTTAGAGCAGTGGTTAGCAGTGTTCCCTCTAAGCTGAGTTGGTGTGAGCTAGCTCATAGTTTTTTAGCCTCCGGCTCACAGATTTTTGCCTTAGCTCAGGAAGGATGGCCTCAAAGCAAACTGATTTGTGCAGTCGCCAAATGGCTGGCTCACAACTTTAATGCCTGTAGCTCACAAAGTAGGATTTTTGCTCACAAGACTCCACAGCTTAGAGGGAACATTGGTGGTTAGCATGCTGGACTAAAATATGGGAGATCTGAGTTCCAATCCCCCACTGTGTTGAGAAACTCACTTTAGGCCAGCCACCTCCAGGCCCATCCCACAGAGTTTTCGTAAGAATAAAATGAAGAGGGGAGGGAGACCACACATGAAGCTGCCTTATCCTGAATCAGACCCTCGGTCCATCAAAGTCAGTATTGTCTGCTCAGACCGGCAGTGGCTCTCCGGTGTAGTGGTTAAATGCGCGGACTCTAACCTGGGAGAACCGGGTTTGATTCCCCACTCCTCCGCTTGCACCTGCTGGTGTGACCTTGGGTCAGTCAAGAGTTCTTTCAGAGCTGTTCTCTCAAGAGCAGTCCTCAAAAGAGCTCTCTCAGCCCTACCTACCTCACCAGGGTGTCTGTTGTGGGGAGGGAAAGGAAAAGCAGTTTGTAAGCCGCTCTGAGACTCCGAGTGAAGGGCGGGGTATCAATCCAATCTATTCTTCTTCTTCTCTTCAGAGTCTCAGGCTGAGGTCTTTCACATCACCTCCTACCTGATCCTTTTAACTGGAGATGCTGGGAATTGAACCTGGGACCTTCTGCATGCCAAGCAGATGCTCTGTCAGTGAGCCACAGCCCCCCCCCAATCATTTATGCCACCCAGAGCTCCGTAGAGGAATGGCAAAATATATATCCTATATATGTGATAGAAATGTTTTAAAACTTCTTATTAAAGAGATTTGGCCTGTATTTTCTAATGTTTAAAAGGAACGAGTTTGTGTATATGTAAAGTGTTGTTAAGTTGCAGCCGAGCTGGAAGGTTTTCAAGGCAAGAGACGTTCAGAGGTGGTTTGCCATTGCCTGCCTCTGCGTAGTGACCCCGGTATTCCTTGGAGGTCTCCCATCCAAGGCCAGTTAGTTTCTGAGACCTGGCAAGATCGGGCTAGCCTGGGCCATCCAGGTCAGGGCTGGGTTTCTGACAAAGGGACAATATATTCTGGCACTATTTCAATGTCTTTTCCTTGCCTTTTGAATACATACACTTTTAAAAAAAATCTTGATTCGTGTACAGAAAAAGGATGCTTTATTGCGTAAAAAAGGTTTCCCTTGCTCAAAAGCCGGTCAAATCTGACTATAAGGGGTGGTGCTCATCTCCGTTTCCAAGCCAAAGAGCCAGCACTGTCCAAAGACTTCTCTGTGGTCATGTGGCCGGCATGACTAAACGCCGAGGTGCACAGAATGCTGTCACCTTCCCACCGAAGCGGTACCTATTTATCTACTTGCAATTTCTTGCTTTTGAACTGCTAGGTTGGCAGGAGCTGGGGCCAGAGACGGGAGCTCACTCCGTCATGCGGCACACTCGGGTCTCGACCTGCCGAGCTACAGACCTTCCGGTCTGCAACTTAGCGTCATAACCCCTGAGCCACCGTGGCCCCTTTTTTGAGTACTGAATGCAAAACAAGTTCCTCTCTATTGGCTCAAGCAGCTCCAGTTCCAGAATGACGCCACACCAAATCTACAGTGTCAATTTCTTTTTAAAAAAGTTGTGTTGATCATCAATGGTGCTCAGTGAAAATCAAGGTAATTTCCAGGGCGGCAGTTGATTAGCGCAGACAGCCGCAGGCACAGGAGGCTGCCGCTTGCTTCCCACGCAGCAGGAAATTGGGTTGTATTATACCTTTGACCCTAATTGCCAGAAAGGAGGCAATACTTGCGAGGATTATTTAAAGAGGAAAACAAAAAAGAAACAAGCGGCAACATTTTCATTTCTAATCTCCTCCTGATCCCAACGCGGACTACAATGCAGGCTTGTGAGTCTATCCGATCTGAACGTTCGCCAAGGCACACGAAAATTCCACAAAGGGCGCCGTATGAACCGAACAAACGCAGGAGATGCGAGAGAGGGAAGTGAGACTGCAGTTTCTAGGCTAGAAGCCTGAACTGCTGGGGAACGGGGCACAAAGAACGGGAGGTGAAGCTTCAATGCACGGCGTTAAAGACTTTGGGCCCAGCTGCTGGAGAGAGGACCAGAGAACCACAGCAGGTTACCTTAACACCAACAATGACGATGCCATGGAGGAGCCAGGAAAGGCCCCTCTCGGGACACACTTGTGGCTGGACGGTCTAGGAAAGGCTCATAAGGCCAAGTGGAAGGGGAAAGATGAGAGAGACAGGAGTGGAGGCCTTGAGGTGAGGGAAGGTCTCAAACTTGCAAGCATTGGGGCAAGAAGATAGCATAACCACAATGCTATAGCAGGACAGCTGATTGGGTACATAAGAACATAAGAGAAGCCAATGTTGGATCAGGCCAATGGCCCATCCAGTCCGAAACTCTGTCACACAGTGACCAAAAATACCAGGTGCCATTCGGAGGTCCACCAGTGGGGCCAGGACACTATAAGCCCTTCCCCTGTCCCCCCCCCCCCAAAGGACCAAGAATACAGTGCATCACTTGCCCCACACCGAGAGTTTCTATCTATACCTTGTGGCTAATAGCCACTGATGGACCTCTGCTCCATAAAGTAAAGTAAAGGTAAAGGTTCCCTTGCTCAAAAGCCAGTCAAATCCGACTCTAGGGTTGCGGTGCTCATCTCCGTTTCAAAGCCGAAGAGCCAGTGCTGTCCGAAGACATTTCCGTGGTCATGTGGCCGGCATGACTAAACACCAAGATGCAGGGAACGCTGTTACCTTCCCACTGAACTGGTACCTATTTATCTACTTGCAATTTCTTGCTTTCGAACTGCTAGGTTGGCAGGAGCTGGAACTAGAGACGGGAGCTCACTCCGTCATGCGGCACACTCGGGTCTCGAACTGCTGAACTACCGACCTTCCACAGCCTGCAGTTCAGCGTCTTAACCACTTGAGCCACCTCTGCTCCATATGTTTATCTAATTCCCTCTTGAAGCTGTCCATGCTTGCAGCAGCCGCCGCCACCTTCTGTGGCAGTGAATTCCATGTGTCAATCACTCTTTGGGTATATCAGTGGTTTTCAAGCTTTCTGTCTTCAAGAAGAAGAAGAGATTGGATTTATACCCCGCCCTTCTCTTGGAGTCTCAGAGCGGCTTACAAACTCCTTTCCTTTCCCCTCCCCACAACAGACACCCTGTGAGGTGGGTGGGGCTGAGAGAGCTCTGACACAAACTGCTCTTTTTCAAGGACAGCTGTGCCAGAGCTTGTGACTGACCCAAGGTCACATCAGCAGGTGCAAGTGGAGGAGTGGGGAATCAAACCCGGTTCTCCCAGATTAGAGTCCGCACACTTAATCACTACACCAAACTGGCTCTCAGGGACTCCTTCCTACGCTGACCTGTCTACCAAGGGAGCCCATGTGTGCCTGTAGCAGGGGATTAACCTAATGGGGGTGGGAAGAGTTCTGCAAACATTTTCATCAGTATCAACAGGCACTCTTGTATGATCATCCTGTGATCCTTGACTGGCTAGGGTCACACATGTGAAGAGGATGCTTTAGCTGTGCTCTAGCTTGGCTTCACTCAAATCTCAGGGTGTCAGCACATAGCCAAATATGAATGGCTAATATAGTAGCACAGCATCATAACAGTATGTGATCTCTGGTTGGCTGGAGTCGCTCTTGGGAGGAGAAATAAGCCTGAACTATCTAGCATGAGTTGGGGCAAGAAGGCATTTAAGTCAGTGGAACATGGCTCTGACCTCACTTACATGGTTAGAATAGAAACGAGAAATCACAGACGGGGTTCTTAAAGGCTGAAGATTCTCATTCATTAATGTTTGGGGAAGGCGGGAAACATGACAATATCGCCCTCCCC